TCTCAAAGCTGCCCCTCTCTGGGGCTGGGGTCTATGTACCCCGCATACAATCTGGGGTCTCTGTTCCCTGCCCGCAACCCACTGGTTGCGCTAGTGCCCCCCTTCTGGGGCATCTCAAAGCTGCCCCTCTCTGGGGCTGGGGTCTACATACCCCGCATGCAATCCGGGGTCTCTGTTCCCCGCCCGCAACCCACTGGTTGCGCTCAGGGCCCCCACACCTCTGGGGTCCCTATGAGGCTTCCTCCAACCCCTACAGCCTCACCCAAGCCTCCGGCGTAACAACAGAGCCAAACATAACCACAAGCCTCCTGGCTATAACTTAAACACATGCCCTCTAGCTATAACCACATTGCTCCATATGACAGTGGTACTTGCTACTAGGCTCCTCTCCGCATCCTCACTCCCAGAGCTCCTGCCTCCTTGGCTGCTGGCAGAGAACTGCCAGCCTGTCCTCAGCCCTGGGCTTTATAAGGGCCAGGCCCTGCCTCCTACAGGCAGCTGGCTCCCCTTAGTTGCTCCGGTAACCCGCAGCTGTGCTCGTTACCTTGGCAACGCTCACCTGGGCTCGTTATGTCCTGCCAGGGCTCGCTCTCTCTCCCTGGCAGTTTCTACTCTCTAGGAGCAGGCACTGAGGTGCCCTGCGACAAACTTTTTCACTTCTAAGTGTCAAAAAATGTAGTGTATTGAAATAGTACAAGGAAGCAATCAAGATCACATAGAAAACTGATGTCAGCTGGCTGTCCTGTACTTTATGCAACTTTTTCATACATTTGAAAACAACTGTTTCCAAAGTCATTTGCTTGCAAGAATTTGGAATAGAGAAATAACAAGCTTGCACTCAGTATTAATTAAGAATTATTATGCTTATATTTGATCACGTTGAAGACATTTCTTAATCTTCTTTCTTCTTTAATGCTTCCCATCTTCTTTCTCCCATTCTCCTACTTTTACCTTCTACTTCTTTCTCTCTTATCATTATGCTTTTCTGAAGACAAGCAATTCAGTCTTCCATGGTTTCAGATAAGTTATATTGAACACAAAAAAGGATACGTCTTTTTCGTAAGTAAGACAACAACATTCTTTCAGGATCAGCATTCTTTTCTATTATCTGCAGCATAGAAAAGAAAAAGTATCACAGGATAGCTCACACAGGATTATCAGAAAGATTATACTTTGGGTGGGTCAAATTCAATTCACAAGTAACTGCATTACAATGTATAAAAGATCAATGAATAGAATTGCATTCTGGAGAAACTTTGAGACTGTCCTTCACCATATATGATGTGAAAGATCTGAAAGATATTTATGGTCTTTGTAGGTAAGCTAGTTTGATTGCTGCAAGGAACAATAAGAGCATACTCCCTAAAATTGGGAAAAATACTATTATTCTTCAACAACAGGGCTGCTGCTGCTGCTTCTTTCATATGGCATCAGTATGAACTTCCAAAATTATGAGCCACTGTTTGGTATTATTGCTCAACCTGTAGATGCCATCTGCCCCATCTGGGTATGTGTAGAGACTGCAGCTTTAATTAAATGCTGTGCTGTTTGTTGGATTCCACATTCACACAGGGGGCTGTCCAAAGTGTTCATTTTGTGAAGTTTTGTTTTGAAGCATCTGTATCCAGATATCAGTCTGTTCAGCCAGACCCACACTTCTTTGTCAAAGTCATGCCCAATGTGGGACTCGTTTGGTGTTGATATAAAATGCTAGGAATAGGAATGTAGGAATAAGTTCAACCATTCCCAATGGTTGGCCCACTCCGTTGCTGCCCATAGATTTGGTTCAGCACCCCCAACCTCTTCCAAGAGCTTGGGGGCTTCATGTACAAATGGTGTATGACTTTTAAGCTGTGCCCATCTAAGCCGGAGCAACTGCTCCCAAGTGGCTCAGGGTCGGGTGATCCACACTCGGGCTTTATCTACCTCTGGCACTAGTGTCTGCCATGCGCCATTTCCTATGGGATACTCCCGTTGCTCACCCGCTATGTCTTGTTCTTAAAAGAAGATGCAGGAGGCTCCCATATGACTTGGACTCATTAAGGGGTGCTCTGGATGGACTTCCCTTGGGGTTCCACCTTCCTTACACCCCTTCCAAGTGCCAAAATGTTGGTCTCATGCCGCATGGTAGACAGTCTGGACTCCTCTGTGGTCTGGCGTACTGTCTCAAACTGGTTGGGCCAGCCACACATTTTAGGTGAGTTGACTGATCTGTGCGGCAGCCATGGGTCCATTAGGTACTGGCAGGGGTTGTTTCATGATCACACCCTGCCTAAGAAACCTAAACAATATGGATGAGTGGTCTTGCTCTCCGAGGCCACCCCCTTTGATTGGACAGGCCTTCAGGGCTAACTTTATTCTGTTCCTCCGCCCCAGAGTCCCCAGGAGCTCCTGGCCTCTCAGCTCCAGTCAAGGCAGCAACAGTATGTGGCCCTAGCTTAAGGCCCCAGGAGAAATCAATGGAACTTTGATGTAGAAATAAGGGAGAGAGTGCCCTTCCTCCCACTCACGCATCCCTGTCAAGCGCTGGGCTGTCAGATCCTTGGCCCTTCTCTGTTCCTTGCTCCAAGGCATTGTCTCCTGGAAAGGCCATGTTCCCTTCTGGGTTGCCCCTGGCATCTCTGGGACGTAGTACAGCTAGGTGTGCTGGCCAGGAGCCTATAGCTGCCTTGCTGCTGCTGCTTTCAGTCTCTCTGTCCTGCACTGGCTTTTGAAGGCCCTTTCTGGCACCAGCAGATGACATCACACCCTCGTGCCACTCCAGTCACACCAAGAGCGAGTTTATAAAGTGCATGGATGGTGTTGCCCACCATTCTGCATTTTCCACCACTGCACCTGGACCAGGTAAACGGTCTCAGGTCACAGATCTCTCTGGGCCGTGTCCCCGAGCTTCCATGTCCTCCTTGCCACCTCTCTGCCCTGGCACCAGGGTCTCCAGCCCTGTGGGGCTCTCACTCTGCAACATATCCCCCATGTTATTTGCCCTGGGGCGCTTGTACCGTGGGTTCCTGTTTCATACCTGTCATCTGAGTTCTGTCACTTGTGTTATGTCTCTTCCCGGGAATTCAGTTCTCACTCCCATACCTGGACAAGAAGTTGGCTGTAGTGTTAGTTCTCCCAGGCTGGTGCACTATCTGGAACTTAAAAGGCTGTAAAGGTAAGGGTCCACCTCATTATTTGGGCATTACTGGTCTTGGCATGGCTGAGCCATTGTAGGGGGGCATGATCCATGGCCAATTTGAATTCCTGACCCATGAAATAATAGTGGAAGTGCTCGATGGCCCACTGAATGGTCAGACCTTCCCTTTCAATAGTGGCATACTGTGTTTCTGCTGGGTGACGTTTGTGGCTGGCATACGCCACTGGTCTCTCGACACCTGTGTCCTCTTGCATCAACACTGCCCCAACTGTGGACTCTGAAGCATCGGTCTGTAAAATAAAGGGTTTATCAAAGTCAGGCGTGTGAATCAATACATCCTGGCACAGGGCATCCTTGAGCTTCTCAAAGTTACTGGTCATCTTGGGCGTCCATCGAATAGCTCCTGAACCTCGTCCTTTCAGGGCTTCTGTCAAAGGGGCTGCCAACTCAGAAAAATGTGGCATGAACCACCAATAATAATTAGTTAAGCCTAGAAAGGACTGCAGTTGTTTGTGGTTGTGAGGGATTTGGAATTCTCGGATACCTTTCACTTTTTCCGCTAAAGGCTGGATAACCCCTTGCTCTACTTGAAAGCCAAGATATTTTTTTTCCTACATTCCCAATGCACATTTTCAGGGGTTGGCCATCATCCTTAGCTCCATCAACATGGCCTGCAGGGCCAGGATATGTTAGAGCCATGTTTTAGTGAAGATGACAATATCATCGATGTACGCTGCTGCATACTAGATGTGAAGTGCTAGCACTCAACCCATCATACGTTGGAACATGGCTGCTGCCCTGTGGAGCCTGAAGGGAATCTGCACAAATTTGTAAAGGCCCCACAGGGTTCTAAATACCATTTTAGCCCAATCCCGGCAGGCTACTGGGATCTGCCAGTAGCCTTTCGATAGATCCAGTGTGGAAATCAAGTGGGAATCCCTGATACATTCCATTAATTCCGTGACGTGGCATTGGGAACGTGTTGAAGACCTCTATCTTGTTCAGCCTCCTAAAGTTTACACATAGGCAGAGGGATCCATCTGACTTAGGCATGGGGACCTGTGGGCTGCGCCACGGGCTCCGCAAAGGTTGGATCACCCCCTATTCTAACATTCTCCCGAGTTCGTTATGGACCTTGTTCTGAAGGTGGCGTGGTACTGGCTGCCACCGTTCTTGCACTACCATCCCTTCAGGAGTGCAGATTTTGTGTTGGATGCTGCAGAGCCAGCCTGGCTCATCCTGGAAAATGTCCTGGTAGGCTCATACTAGGGCTAGCATCTCTTTCTTCTGAAGAGGGGTTAACCCCACGCCCTTTCTTACCTGTTCTTCCACCCCTATCTTTTCCCCTTTGGGGTGGCACTCAGGCTCTTGCCACTCTCTAAATAGATTCATGTGGCATATTGGTCTTTCCCGTTGGTGCCCCAGACAGAGAACTCCCAACCTTATTTTGTTCCTCTGCCCCAGAGTCCTTGGGAGCTCCTAGTCTCTCGGCTCCAGTCACGGCGGCAACAGTATGTGGCCCTAGCTTAAGACCTCAGGAGAAATCAATGAAACTTAAATGTAGAAAACAGGGAGGGAGTGCCCTTCCTTCCGCTCACGTGACCCTGTCAGGTGCTAAGCCGTTGGATCCTTGGCCCTTCTCTCTTCCGCTTCAAGGAGTTGTCTCCCCAAAAGGCCATGTTCTCCTCTGGAATGTCCCTGGCATCTCCGGGATGTAGTATGGCCAGGCGTGCTGGCCGAGAGCCTACAGCTGCCTTGTTGCTGCTGCTTCCTATCTCTCTGTCCTGTGCTGGCTTTTGAAGGCCCTTCCCAGCACCGGCAGATGATGTCACACCCCCACACCACTCCAGCCACACCAAGAGCGAGCTGATAAAGGGTACAGGTGGTGTTGCCTGCCATTCCACATTTTCTGTTGCCCGACCTGGGCCAGGTAAGTGGTCTCAGGTCACGGCTCTCTCCAGGCCGTGTCCCCAAGATTCCATGTCCTCCTCGTTGCCTCTCTGCGTCCAGCACCGGTGTCGCCCTGTGTCATAGGCCTCTGAAACTTCCATCTGCTTGGGTCATCAGCTAGCAGTTGATAGAGCAGATGATTCGTCCTCTCTTGCCTCTATTGCCAGTAACGATGTTAGGGTCTGTCTTCTTATGGCACTTGGTCTAGTGCCCAAGAGTACAGGAACAACAGGGCTGCTAATCTCACAGAAGTGGTAGACAGATGTGAGCTAACCTGTAGCTGAACTGGTTAATCATGAGAGAAGCTCTTCAGGCAACATAAGATAGCCAATTAAAACTCTTCCTAAAGACTCCCATTTAATTGTAGCCTGTGGCTTTAAGTCATGAATCTAGCCTTACAGATTCAGTGCCAGGTTTTATTGCAAAACTAGTTTAAACAAAAGGTGATAGTAATGCGTCTATCATCACTGGTCTTTTCCTCAATAACTTTTCTGAAAATGACTGTTACAACCAAAGGCCACCCTCTCACTAACATGGTTTATGCTCCTGTCTTGTTTAACTTGATCAATCAAATTACTTGACCGTTTTTTCTTCTTCAGATTACAAAGGACTCCACAAACAATATGTGACATTCTTGCTAAGACCTAACACACTATGTTCTATATTTACCTTCCTTTAAAATTTCTTCAACAGATAGAAGGAACATCTGAATCAGAAGTCTATTGCACTACTTTGATAACAGAGAATGGAACAGCATACACATATGCATGTAACCTTAAAAATCAAACTGCAGTAATAAAACACAGAAATTTTAACTACACAGCAAAAGTGAAAAAAATGATAATTGTTATAACTGTGGCTGTGTAGTGGTAATTTGTTACATCTGTGTTGTTTGTACCCAGTGGAATTAGTGAGCATCCTGAGTGACACTCCCAGTGTGTGATCCCAGGACAGCTTTATAATATAAATGGACCATGGAAAATGTATTTTAGAAGTAATAGTTGTTGCAAAGAATATGATGCAAAAGTCAATAGGGGACTTGACTGTTGTATTTAAGTATATATACAGGGTAAATTTAAAAAAGGAAATAATATTTGAATGAAATAGTCTAATTTTTGTAGTAATACTGTATTATTAAAATAACTGGAATTTTTACTGGACTATGATAGATAGATAGTTAAAAATAAACCATTAAAATACTTAGACTTTGTCATGTGCTGGACATGATAATTTTATTGAACACCTGATAGCTCACATGTTTTCTAGTAAAGCTAACACAAAGAAGGCTTGATCATTTCCATACCCATGGACAACTACTGTATTCACAGAAGCATACTCATTTGTAGGTATAAGCCCTTACACTAAGCAGAAAAATGAGCAATCCCCTCAAAAATCTCAAGGTGCAATGAGTTAAATGCATATAGTTTATCGGGGAGCTGAAAAGTTTGACATAATACAATGTGTTATATTGTGTTTCCCTTTGTATATGGGACTTGCTTAAAAATGTTAGTGCCTCCAATGGTTGTCTCTCTGGATTTTTTGCATGGGTGAGTTTTGTTAATTAGAAGTGGTTCTTTTGTTTTTGTCTGCTTTCCTACTATCTGCCTGTACAATTAGTGAACAAGCAAAATATCAAAGAAGTGCACAATATATTTTAATAAAATAATCTGATTTGTAAATCTGTGCTAAAGTGGTATTAACTTTGTTTATGCTATTTTTAATCCTGCAAAATATAAACTTCTTAAAGTCATGCATGTGCTGAAAGAAACAAAACACTTTACATTTTAAAGAGAGCAAATTAAAAACCATAAATTCTTCTATCACCATGCATTTACTTAGAACATTACTTTTAAAACAAGAACTATTTTAAACAATATTTTTCATGATTAATAGCTTACTTTCTATATGCGGGAAAGGAAAAACCCATTCCTCTATACTTAAGTACCTCAACTACAAAAAAAATAACATTCCAAATGAAACAACAAACTGATTTAGCCCATATATGAGTACAGTAAAATCAAACAGAATGCTATTTTTTGATAACAAAGAAGAGCTCTTCTGGCAGAAGAACATATTTTTCATCTAAAGAGTAACTGTAAGTCCACTCTTTC